CCTTTTCGTTTCAGGTTGGGACAGAAATAGCAGTCTGCAACTTTTCACGTTCAGCAGGACCATTAATCTATTTTGGCTTTATGGCAAATGTCACTCACAGGGTACTTACATATCTGGCATAGTTACTCTTTCGCTCGTCATCGGTGTTATAGTTGTTATTCGGTCGAGTAGTGTGTCGCTCAGTTTTGACGGACGGATCATGCTTCGTATTTACGCTTCTGTTGATATCGAACCCAGCTTGACTGCTTGGTGAGTTCGATGAGCGCACGTTCTTTAGGTTCCGGAGGCGCAGAGCCCACTGACGCACGTACAAGAAGTCGAACCCAAGAGGCGGCGATTGCTTAAACCGCAGCTCCATTCTTCTTTTTTGAGTCCACATCCTCCAGACTCCATCAGCAGCATGTTCATCTTGTTTGCAGAAAAGGCCCGAAAAGGGCGATGACCGTTCATCCCGCTCTGTGTAAGTAAGTATGTCGCAATAATGTACGTCTATGTACCCTCCCTCCACCCATCCACCAGCGTCTGTTTAAGCTTAAGATGGTTTCCGCAACGTTGGGAATCAGTGGGGATGCACCTAACGTTGTTTGCTGGGTACGGAGCACAGCGAGAGATAATACACAAAGATAAGCAGTTTGTATGTGTTGTATAGGAGCTTATGTGTCTTTGATAGCTGACACTTGCCCTGAAAGAGATACCAACGAATTCTTATCGCTTTCGTTCACGAAGGGAGTTGGTAATTCCAAAGTTGAATGGATGGATGGATGCGTAGATGCCGACTTTACTACCCGAATGACTGTCCCGTTTCCTCGTTTCTGAGCAGAAACGAACTCAATTAATTCGCCTTGTGCCGTCTAACCGATGACGAAAAAATAGGATTGATAATAATGGGAAATATATTGATGGCGCCATTGCCATCTGAGCTATCATGCCGCTGTTAGATCAGACAACCCGGCAGAAAACCACGAATTCTTCGCTCAGGATCTTAGTAGGAGTGGTTAGTGTGATTCGATGCTCCTTCCATGAGGCTTCGATGGCCTCCAGCTCGAGCAAGGGTCCGTGGTCTGCTGCATTGCTTTTTCCGGGTTTCCGCTTGTGGATAAGGAGTGTCTGCACTAAATAGTTGCTATGCTGTGTTGCTGCTTCACTTGTCAACGCTTCATTCTATTTGTTAGCACTGTTCCTATAGCGTGTGAAGTCATATTTCAATTCGTTGGAGGGAATTCCTTTTCTTCCATTTCGTTCGTTCTTTCTTTTTTTCTCCCGTGGATGTCTTGCTTTCTTGCTTCTCTTTTTCTTGGTGACCCTGTTTTTGCATGTTCCTTATGGCCTGATCCTGGATGCATCGAATGGGGATGTGACTCCGTAGTTCTCCGCAAGGGAAGCGTTATCCGAACCAAACAGCCAGGAGCGTTAACCGCGTCTCTCTCCACCTATGACTTTCGACAATAATAAAACTCCTGCCTATGTATCTGCTTCTCCTGCCATGACAGCTCGATGACATACAAATAATCCCCCCAATTGATCAATCGCTGAAGGCGGTCTCCGAAGCTCTGCGGCCCCTGTATGCTGTGCAGGACCATGCCCTGACCTAGTCATTCGGGCCATCAGTCAACATGTTTCGTTACAGCTGCTTTCTCAATTACCAGGGATAGGCCAGAATAAGTAATCATTCCTGGACAGTTTTCTATTACATCGTAAGGGTTGTTGTAATAACGACAATAATAATATTAAAAGCCCAGCAATACCTGTTTAATTGATTTCCATGGAGATCGCTGGTTGACTGCTCATCAGTCATTGAGGAGAGCACGTTCACGACAATACGATGGAAGGTAGCAATCAACCCTTCCACGGTATGTGACGGTGCAAGCCATAATACCCCTTCCGCCCAGGGCACCCCAAAATGGTCGTTTACTATAGCAATCTCATGCAGGGTTCACATTAAAAATGCACGTTTCGGGGGTTTTCAAGCAGAAACGAGACCTTGAAAGGCCACTTGTTCTGCAAGCTCCGAGATTAGTGCAGGTATGAAAAATGAATATGTCTTCTTGACACAGACGGTCGAGCATGCAACACGCATATTATTATCTCCCTAGTGACCACGCCCGGGTGAAAGGGTGTAAAAGCCAAAAGGAGAAGACCGAAGAAAGTGCTCTCAACAACAATAATAATCGGGTATCAAAAACCAGAAAAAGAAAGAAAAAAGCGAGTTTCTTGAGCAAGTCTCTGGCAACACGTAAGGAGAACCTGACAGCATAACTCGGCCATGTGGTGACTCGTGAGGGTGTGAGCTGTTTCTGGCGGTTGCAGGCAGCAATCCCATTCGCAGATCCAAGCCGGGGTCAGGGATCTCTGAGGTCTTTTCGTTTCTTCTTCCTCCCTGTTTTTCTTTTTTCTTTTTGGCCTCTCGCAGGGGGGGGGCTCTCCCTCTCCCCCCTTTGTTTTTTTTTTTTTTCTACCCCTCTGCTTTGGGTTACAACGAGCTAGCTGTTGTTCGCCTTATCGGACAATCCGGGCGGTACATGACAGCACCTCCTTGTGCTCCTTGTGCTCCTTGCTCGTCATGTCTTTCCGTGTAGCTGGCAGTCGGAGGTTGCGCTGGGCGGCTGTCTGGAGCCTGGGCAGCTTCCCTCCCACGCCCCCGTTTCATCGTCGGGTATATCAGTCAACTTGCTGGACATGCCTCTGCTATCGTCATGTATCGTCATGTCTGCGGCTGCTGCTGCTGTTTATTATTGTCCGTGATATATACTCGGTACGCGCAAAAGTAAGTAACAATAATAATAACAGAGATCACGATATCAAAGACAGGAGACGAGGTACTTAGGGCGGCACGGGTCTCACCGCTAAAACGGAAGTACCACTGCCACCCACGCACCGCCGCTTTAAGCCCACGCCCGCCTCGGGACTTCTTCCGCCCTTTTTATTTTTACTTTTTCCTTCTCTCTTTCTGCTGTTGTTATTTTCAACGCGTCGACTTTTCTTCACCTCCAACCCCGACGACTTCACCTTCGTCTCTCCTCAAGCAACTCCCAGCAACTGCGGTCCGTCTGCGTGTCGTTCTCTCCTCAGCTTCAGACGTTTCGCTGCCTGCTCTTGCCGCCCGCTGTCCGCGTTCACCAGTCGCAATTGCGGTGTTGTTTCGGCTCCAGCGCAGTGTTGCCTGCTCCAGTCCTCGACCAGGAACCCCCCCTCCACCCCCTAAGACCTCGGGAACTCGCTTCGTCCCCAGGGCCCCAAGCCTCTCCGTTGGCATCGCGATCTTTTGGCCATCTACTTTGCTGCCTTGGTAAGTCTACTTTTTTATAGCTGCTTCCCTTTGTCGAGACTGCTGCAAGCCACTTCCAACGGTTCGACGTATGTGGCGGATCCATAAGCTGCTGGCTCCCCTGTCGTTACCAGCAACCAGCAACCAGATTTCCTTGCCTTTCTGCCCTACAACCCCAGAAAACCAAAAAGAGACGAGATGAAGAGGCAGAGGAGCGAGGTCAGGATAGCACCTTCATGCCATACGTAACCTACCACCAACCATTGTTTTTCTTCCCTTGAACCCGATCTGTACCCTTCGCCACGCGCAGAAAAAGCAACACTCGAACCAGGGAACCTCTTTCGGAGGCGTGGTATCTATCGTCATGTTTTCGCCGTCCGGCCTTCGCCTCAGCCCTGTCTATTACTATCCTTACAATCCCTCTCTTTCTCTCTCATCTCTTCTCTTTTACACCTAGGTCGACTCCCTCTCCTATGAGTGCCAGAGTGCCAGATATATAAAAAAAATAACTTATATCTATCTCTGATATCTCTCTGGATGGAGGAAGACCCACCCTTGCCTGCCTGGTGGATACGGAGCATCATCTTTCCACGCTCTTGGGAAGTCATGTTGAAGGGAAAAAAAGGAAGAGGAGCAAAAAAGAGAGAAAAAGAAAAGAAAGAGAAAAAAAAGAGACTTGGAGAAGGCTAAAAAAGTCGTCCCAGGAAGTTATCCCGGAAAGGGAAAAAAAAAAAAAAAAAAAAAAAAAAAAAAAAAAAAGAATTGCTGATGCCCACCTATCCGGCATTATAGCATCATCGTCACTCTAACTTCTTCTTCTCTTGCTCCTCTTAAATTTTTCTTCAAGCCTAAACTTACGACCTCTCCAGTTTTTTCCCTTTTGTTCCTGAACGCCCTTACTTACTTCTACCCCTCCTGGACCCTCTTCGTTGGTCTCCATTCCTGACTTTCTTCTTTCTTCGTTTCTTTTCATTCCTTCGAGAAAAGACCAAACCGTCCCTTGACCATCTCTTCTTACACACACTCACCTCGCTCTCTCTGCTCTCGTTTTCCGTTGTGGATACAGAACCTCGCATCTGCAACAGGGCGCTCACCATCGATCTTCTTCATAGCTCTACACTCAACTAGCTCTCATCACCACCGAACCTCAACTTCTGTGACAACAACCCAATCCATCATCACTGTCCTTACAGGTTAGTCAAGGCTGAAGGAGTCGCTGAAGAGAATAATAAGAAGAAGAAAATGGAAAAAAAGGAAAGAAAAAAGAGAACGAAGAACAATTCGGCTAACGCGCGCTTCAGGGGTCTCTTCATCTTCAGGATTTCCAATTCTGCCGGTCGATATTGACACCGCCTTTTCCTCTCTCGCGCTCAGAGGAGAAATCAATCAATGATTGCTGGGAGATAGCATAAAACCTGTTACTACTGCTTATAACGGCCATTGATCATCTGCCCACAGTCCATCCACGCTTGTCATGGATCAGAATATTCGAACGCAGGCTTCGCGGCCGGCGTCAGCCTCCATTCCTCCACAGGGGCCTCCGATATTGTCACATCTTCACCAGTATCAGGCTCACTCACCTTACCAGATTCCGCAGCCGCACACACTCCCTCCTCTGCAACATCCCCAGTCTCACTCTCCAATGCCGTCATATCTGGGGCAACCATTTCGAAATGATATGCCCAGGTATCCCGTTACTTCTACTCATGACGTCTATGCTGCCTCAACCGCGCCAATGGCGACACATGCTCCCGTGAACAGTCTACCACCGGCCTCGTTCTTGGGCCAGCACCAGCAGCCGCAGCAGCAGCAGTTTCCTTCACATGGCCTCTTGCCACCAACAACTGGCGCTCAAGCCTATCCCCAGCCAATTGCACCTGCTCCGCCACGAGATAGACGGCACGAGTATGGTATGCCCGGCGCTCCTTTCACCGGAGCTGAGGATAAAGGCCCAATGTGGGCGGCACCTGATGGAATGTCTGCTTCAGCCGCCGCCTATCCTCCCAAGGATGCACCACGAACTCAGGTTGTTGGCTCTCAGGGTCGACGAGGTATCCTTCCTAGCGTTCCAGGACGTGCAGCTATCACCAATGGTGTAAACGGGACTGCCAAGGGTACCGCTATTCCAGCTAAGGATGCTGATGGCAAATTTCCTTGCCCACACTGCAACAAAACATATCTTCACGCAAAGCATCTAAAGCGACATCTGTTGCGCCGTAAGTCGATAAATATAACCAGACTCTTCCCTTTCCATTCCCATTCCAATATTTTCTTTTTGGTCACGCTCTTTTACCCCCTAACAACCACAAATACTTTATATTCTAACCTGATCTATAGACACTGGTGATCGCCCCTACATGTGTGTTCTCTGCAAAGACACGTTCTCTCGAAGCGATATCCTCAAGCGTCATTTCCAGAAATGCTCTCTCCGACGAGGCAATCCTACCGGAATCAGTCACTTGTCTCACCCTCATGCTCATCTCAAGAAGGCTCAGGCAGCGGGGGTTGTGCCTAAACCGGTGAATCAGGGTGATGTTAGTAACCCCATCTCACTTCCCAATGGTATTGGTGGTACTACGTTTGGGGAAGCGCCCGCGAGCGGGCATGGGGTTACAATGGCTCCTGGCCATCAACCCCGCTTCGCAGAACATCAGCCATTCAGTTATCCTATGCCTTCTCATGCGCCAGCGGTACAGAGTGGTAGTAGCGGTTTGGCCCGTGGCCCCTTGGACCAGATTCCCGCCGGCACTACTACTGCCCAGTACCCTCCGCATCAGCAGCAGCATCAGAAAACCTGGATGGCTGAGCCCAAACACAACTCTTCGTCGTTCCATACGCAGTCTGGAACTGACTCTGTTGGCCAGTCGACCAGTATTGCTCTTCCTCCGATCGATGCTAAGAATACTTCCGATAACAAACAGGCTCCTCCCCAACATCCACCACCACAGCACTCTCATCCTCAGCAGCCGCAGCAGAACATTGACTGGTCTGTCCTTCAGCCGGGTTCGCATGAGAACTACATGCCCGGCCCGCCAGTCTACCCTACGTCCATGACACCAGTTAATGACGGAATGCATGCACATGTCGATGCTGATCGCAAGTACTATCCTGCCACCACTGCCGGACAGCAGGAAAATGGTGGTTTGAACGGTCTTTACCTTGCATCCACCAGCTTAAGCGGTGATGGTATGTACCGCTTCGTACACACTCATCTACCAAACAAAATGACAATATGGAATTCCAGGCTAACACGACATTAACAGGAACTGTTCAACCTGCTAGACAATAACGGACGATGAAAGCGACTCCAAGCCTATCTCAACACCACTTCTTTACCTAGAGTTCTGTGACGGCCGAATTGTGAACGAGTTTCTCTTATTAATCCCTTACAATTTTTCGTTTCCCTTTGATCTCGACCTTCCTCCTTAATACATTCCGTCTCATACAGCCAATCAGTGGTCGAGCGCCCGTGCGGGGCACGGTCCGGATACTCGACAGGAAATCATACATCGCCATCAAAATTGAAGCAAATGGAAACCAGCATTATAGACTCGGGTGGAGCATTTATTTGTTTTTCTCTTTCTTACTCTCTCTTTTCCTCTCTGTGGGATATCTGCTTTGCAACGGTCTTTCCTTTTGCGATCTTGTCCAAGTAAGGAGTTTGTCGTTCATTCCTTTCCGTTTCCTGCTTACACTCTCCCTATTTTCGTTATTACCTGCTGCATACATCGGTGAGATCATTAGACGAGGATTTTTTTCCCCTTTATAAAACCTTTTTTATTGTTTTTTTTTTTTTTTTTTATTACACTTCCCCCTTTGGCTTATTTGAATTATTCCCCTATTTTCCTTCGTCTGGAAAATATGTCTTAATACGTGTTTTCTTCCCCTGATCTGTACTTTTCCCCTTTTCTTAGTTTCATTTCTTTTCCTTTTGGAGAAAAATCGGCGGAAGAGGGAGAGAGAAAAAAAAGCTCATTTCATCGGTGGAAAGCACTGTTTGGCATAGAAACGAAAGACTTTTCTTTCGTTTTGGGGATAATGCGAGTCGTATTTGTTGTTTGTTTATTGTCTTGCTTTCATTCGCTCTTTACATACACGGTGGGCGGCTCGCGATTGATATATTACATTTGGGCTTCTTTTTTTTTTTTTTTTTTGGTTCCTGGGGGAGAGAAAAGAAAAGAAAATCATCACTGTTATATCATAATTTGTCCAATTTATCCTCTTTCAAGACGCTCGTTGCTGGCTGGCCTGTTTGTCTGCAATGCTTTTCTTCCGTTCCTGGACTTGACCGCCTTGCCTGCTATGCTTCCTTGTTAAATGCTCTCCTCGCGCTAAATGTTTTGCCGCTTGATAAACTGTTGACAATAATGTTTGCTACATGCATTCTGCGTTCTATGACTATACCCTTGCCTGCGTGTGGTTTCCATACCCTGAGGCGATCCGACAATAGACGGCTATTCGATACCCAACATTTAGCGACACTTTCGGCCTTTGCCCGCACTTACTCGGTGCTAGACGGAATGATGGGATGGAGCGGAAGATAAATTTGAAATGGGTCCTGACATACCTCGCACGTTATTTACATAAGGAAGGATTGTCAGCGAGTAAGTAGGCGGAGACTAATTAGCTCTCTCGCCCTTCTCGCTGCAGCCACTTCGTACATATTTTTGCCTCTCCTGGTTGCGAATCTTCGGCCATGTGTTCGTTTGCGTTTGCTTCGGTCTTATGATGCAATGCGACTGCAGTTACGAAATTGTATGTCTTTTCTTATCTGTTGTTTGCTCCTGCATCTTTGTTCAGCCTTTCCTTAAAACTAGGCTTTTGATGACTTCGGGAACCCAATTTGTAAGCCCTATTCACTGTATAGACTGTTTTGAATGAAACTATCTTCTCCCAACTCTCTTTATACTCGGAACCGTTAGTTATAATTTAGTTCTTATCTTTTGGCTATCTCTACCGATAACTATATCTCAACTTCAAAAGGCCATAATGACTAAGCATATACACGTGATTAAATGATTACTCAGCACGCGAAACCGCCTACCATGGAAGAAAACGGAAGTTAGAGAGACGAACGTCGATTCGATTGAATTGCTGTCTCTATCGACGTCGCAGACATTCCCTATCCATATACAATGGTAAGTCGGTCAATTATGATCCATTCAGCCTTACGATTTGCCCTTATCTTGAATCTGCTCTGCCGAACTGTTGGCTGTTAGGCAATTCATACCCAATCTCCCTCTCAACATCCCTCTGCCCTTTTTGGCACTGCCAACTATCGAGTCATTTTCACTGATCCCGTCTCACTAACGCGATCAAATAGGCATCCCAAGCACCTCGTTCTGGGCCATTTGGCTCCTACCGATCCCCATTTGCGCCCAAGTGAGTCGTTAGACGATAGCCATTAATCACAAAATTGGACACCGAAACGAAGGATCAGGAGGACTAATTATCGCGGTTCCGTCATATAGATACACCGTCCCAACCAAAATTGCTGGATTCACCACTACCCAGGTCATGAGAATGTAAGTCGAGTGGCTCTCGATGTGAATGGAGGCGCGCTACTGTCTTGAGGCAGGTGGTGGGAGAACAGAAGCCGCTACAGCCATTGGACTTGGATCCGCTAACATATCTGTCCTAATCCATAGGATGCCGATGGCAACTACCATGGGCGCCGCAGCTGGCATCTTCGCCATCTTCTTCCTTGGAGATGTTCCGCGAATCCGAGAAGATATCCTCATGAACATTCCTGTCATTGGAAGCTACTGGGATAGATCGATTGCTCCCGAGGACAACGTACGTCTCTTTCCTATCCCCTGGCCGTTATTAGTTTTAACTTTCACATTATTCTTATTTGATGCTGACGATTTGATGTTCCAATAGCCATTCTAAGCGTCTTGTGTGTCATGCGTGGCTGAGTGGAAACTAGAGCTAGAGATGGGGCGATTTTGTATATTTACAGTCTCTTAGTTTTACAAGACGGGTTTATTGATGTTGAGGTGTATAGAATTGTATTCCGTTCATCTATTCCATGTTCACAATCATTCTCTGAAATGATAACTAATGAACGGCTTGCTATTGGTTGGTACTGACGTTGACGTTTCTATACTTGACTCGACAGTAAACATATGCCCAGGCATCTATAATATGGAGATTAAACTGGCTATTGATACTTCGTTTTAACAGTCTACACGCTGTACATTATGCTGTCATTGTTACCGGTGTCTTGCAGAGAACAACGCAGGGCTCCCGTCAGATACTGGTCACGTGCCAGGATGTGTCTGGAACCTTGAGCAAACAAATATATCAAGCACTGCATCAGTTTGAAACCGACATTTACATCTCGGCAGTGACTTTTACTAATAGACTATGACCCTCACGGCCGTTATTTGCTTTACAACGTGCTGTATCCTACACCCTGAGAGCATACAACTTAACTGGCTGCACCTCTTGTAGAGGGGCAGTATAGATCTTGGACCTCATGGCTGCAGCCTCACAAACTATCAAGCAACAGATCTGGGAAGGCTGCCTGCCACTACAGATAAATCTGTCAAAGTCGGAATGCAGAGTGTTCGACAAGGCCGATCCTTATTTTGTAAATTATATATCACACCTGATATACCCTCTGATAATGTTTCTTCACACTGACAAGAAATATAGATATCATTTCCTCGTCTTTCATACCTACCATTTCTATTACCCAGGCTACTCGACTTCTTCAAACCCTACCTTATTGGCTCTGATCCCGTATACCCATATCAAGGCTGGTTCTCATTTGAAGGGCTTCCGCTGAAATGGCATTACCCCGTTGGCTTGCTATACGATCTATACGCCAGCACAGAGCCAGCACCAGAGCAAGGTGATGATAAGGATAGAAGGTATCCATGTCGGGAAACCCTTCCTTGGAAACTAACGTTACATTTTCAAGACTGGCCTGATCAGGAACTTGTTGGTCTTGACGAGCAGGGGAGGGTTATGCATGACTTCTTTATGAATAGTGTCAAGGAGGCGGATTTTGTTCGCAACGGTACAGGGAAGAGCATTATGACACTTTCAAGAGAAGACTCAAATAACCTTTGGACGTCCATACAAGAACGTATGTATACCACCTGCCTATTTATGGTTTCTCAACATGATATATCTCTAACATGTTCAAGACTCTTTTCAAACCTTTCACCGAGTTAACAACACACTCTTACCAAACATATCGACTCCATTCCGCAACGTACCGCTGCGAATCTATCTGCCCGTTGCACCAGGGTCCGAGAAGCCATCTATTAAGGTCGTTCAATCCCAATTTCCACCAAAAATCTCTACAGTGTCGGCGGGAACTGAGAAGCAAATTCAAACGATTGGAACCGCTCTTCATTCTGTAGTTCCTAGCTTGTTCCCAGACGATAAGGATACAAATATGGCTACACCAATATTACATGGAGCCGCAGTACCAATGAGTGCACCGCTGGAAGAAATGGCACGGTGTGCAGCATATGCTGATGGATGGCTAAATATTGTAGTCTGGATGCATGGATGAAAGGACGCCCTGGGTTATGATTAGACGCCATATGTTTATTTTTAGAGCTGTTAGCCTAGGAAATTGATAGATAGTAATGTCATAGAAAGTCAACGAAGGGTATATAGTTACACACAAACTGGAGCATTTTATGCTAACTTTGTACATGCTGAGAGAATGAGGCTGAAGAGATGAAGGATCAAATTCTATACTGCACCCAAGAATGCCCGCCAATAATGTTTTTACAATGATAGTTAATGTAAAACACAAAGATAAAAAAAACTCCAGGAACGTACAACGCCCAAGCTTCATAAAAAGAACGAGAATTGGTTCATGGCAGTGGAAACAAAACTTTGGGCTGTCAACTTTTGTTGAATCAAGGCCAAGGTGTTCTGTACTTCCCCAGCTTATGTCAAAGGCTTAGTTGGTCAACGCTGCCCACACGCATTCCACCTCCTAGCCTACCACCACCCTTGGTCACCATTCCGAGTTGATATAGTCGTTCCTCTCCACTTGTTGTTCGACCCCCAATATACCACTTCTCTGGTCCTAGAGCATCCCTAAACCCTCCACTACCACTACTGCTATCGCTTCCTCGTCTATTCCTATCATATGACGAAAACGGGACTGCAGAGGTTGAAGATGAAGGTGTTGGAACTGGTATTGGAGACGTCGTGGAATTGGAAACTGCGGATGTCTGAGCAGCTGCCGAGGAACTAGTATGGCTGGTAGAGCTTATTGGGGCTCGGGATGAAGGAGATGGAGTATGCGAATGAGTATGGGTATGAGCATGGGTATGATGATGATGATGGGAGTGGTGATGGGAGGAGAAGTGGTTTGATGTTGACGATGCGGCCGCTGCGGCAGCAATAGAGTTGGTATTCGGTTGTTGTGGATTCGAAGGAGCTGGATTTGCCGTAGCTTTGCTTGCTATTGTTCGAGCTCCGGTGGTATTTGAAGAGGAGGATGGCGGAGAGTACGAAGAACCGATGTGTGATGACGACGGGCCTGGGGAAGGGGGTTTCGAAGGCGCTGTCTTATATGCGGTTTGCGCCCTGAAGGCGGCGAGAAAGTTGGCTAAAAAGGGCCTGTTGGTCGTCATGGCTGCGAACACGCGTGTACAACTGTCTTTCGGCCTGATATCGACAGCCGAGTTGTTCTATTGGCGATGCTGTATTCAGTCACTCTGCTCGTGTGGCGTATGTGATATAAATTTTTCTGTAGGGAGTTGCTGGATCACAAGGAAAAGAGAGCAAAGATCGTCGCGTCTAGCTCATGCATGTACCACAGTCCAAAAGGCGCCTGCAGCACTTTGGTCTGTTTGTCGATATTGAATTGTAGGCTGGCCTGTCCCGCAGCAAAGAGAAGAGCATCGGTCATGGATGTTGTGATAGTGACGACGATGGATGATGCTGAACTTGTGGGGTGACTTTTCCAGCGGAAGATCTCGGAAAGCCAACCGCGGCCGGGCTGTTAGTAATCCGACGCCACACCCAGCAGCCTGCACCGCCACATACATCACGTGAATAAGGGACGACGAGCATGCGGCCTGCACTCACGGATTACTCGAGGGCGTCTACCACTCTGATGAGGGCTATCTCGTTGCTGGCCGGCTAGTTTACGGCTGGAGATATCCCTTGCTTAAGCTTTTTTTTGGGCTTCTATTGCTTTTATTCCACATTAGAATGACTACTGGTGGTTCACTTTTACCTGCTCAGGGGAAGCCGTTGATACATATCCATGGCTTATACGCAGTTAAATCCGCCGGATCACCAAACAAACGCCAACAATACCCCCCGAAGCCTTAATCAATGGAAACTATGTAGTGTGACTACACACAATCCGTTTCCTGGATAACAGATGCCTCGTGGTTACAGCAGCCCTGATTCAACCAGGTTCCGTATTGCATAGGACCATAGATTGGCTCGTGCTAAAAATAGCTTAAATCAACCGTACGAATACACTGGGTCGCCGGGACAAGTGCAGAGAAACTTCCGTTTACTCAGGAACAGAAGATTTTTTGCTACCCCGAAATGACCTGAGTTACGTACATCTGGTAAAAGAAAAAGATACTATAATTGAAATAGGTAATCTTTCATCATCGGCAAATGGCTTGTTTCAAAGTCTCACTTGAGAGAAAACGATAAATGGGATATCGTGATGATCAAGGCTTAACCACGCAAGAATCTTGGAACTCATGAGCATGCCGGAGGCAATAAGGGGGGAAAGGATAGATGGCAATATCGGAGCGGAGGATGGATACAGATCCCCATCGGTATATATCTCATAAAATTCAAAACACACTACTTGGTCTGTATTATACTCCTCAAATTTTCTCCCACCGGAAGCCACTTTTGAGAACACGGGTGACAGTCATGAACACACCACAAAGGAAAATAAGCGCCGCGGAAAAGAGTAAGGTCAAGGTAAAGTTCCAGTCCCTAGGGTTCATGGAATGTGCATTGCTGTCCTGCTTGAATAAAATGCCGCCGGCGACAGGAGTACCGAGCAAGGCGCCAAGGGAACCAAGGATAAGGGCGGCCCGGCCCTGGCTACATCTTGGGCTGGAGTCGACAGTTATAGATGCCATGGCTGCGAATAGGAGTACTAGCTGATAACCTGCTACCAGGGCATAGAATAATGATCCTATAATGACTCCCACTGGATCTACCGCGAGTATTAGAGAAATCAAGACTATCCCAGAGACGTTTGTAAACAAGACGGCCGTGTTCAGATTTCCAAGCCTATTGACATCAGTAAATCTGTTACTTATTTAGATATGCACATACTATACTGACCTTGAAGCTAAAACAGTTAGGCTGAAGCCTCCTATCAAAGCTGCCATATTCATTGCACTTACGAAGTAGCTGGCCAGCTCGGTCCTCAGCCCCAGCGAAAGGCCATATACCGGGATGTAGAAGAATGGAACAAAGCCACCAACGAGTCCTAGAATGGCTCCAATCACAAAGGTACAGTAACTGGCATCTCTGAACCCACCAAGGCTAATGAATGGTCCTATTTTTTGAGGAATTGAAGCATGATATGGTTGGAGAGTATAGAGAGTCGAGCCCGATGCCAGGAGCACAAGGGATGTGATTATCCGCACTGCCCATGGAAAGCCGACAGCAACAATAAGCCAGTAGCTTACTATTGGGAAAACAATCCCACCTAAGTTCTAAGTTAGCGTTATTGTTTAGTGGAGTTATATATGTCAAGGGTAGACTTGACACACCTATAGCCGCCCCAGAAGTGGCAACTGCAATAGCCAACGGACGTTTTGTTGAAAAGTAGGAGGTTGCAATGGTAATCCCGGGAGCAAACAACAAACCAGACCCAATGCCTACACACACTCCTTCAGACAGGAAAAACTGGTAGTACTTCGTGCTAATGGAGGTCATGACAAGACCTAGAAGTTGTATTATCAACCCAGTCCCTGTAACATGACGGAAGTGACTAGAGCCGACTGCCTTGCTGGAGAAAATTCCAACAAACAAGATGAAAAATGCTTGAACTGAGCCAATCCATGAAAGGGCTGATTGTGATGTAGTAGGAAGGACAGTCTGAGAATAGCTTGCTTGGAACGCTCCATGAGCCATTACAAGACCCCTGGATAACAAGCATTAGCTAATTGTTTCCAGACAATGAAGTGGTCTAGTTATACAGGAGAAAGTTGCCTTACCATGTATTTTGTGTAAGAACACAGGCACCCATAACCTGCAACCAGGCATTGCGTCCTCCATTGGGAGGAGTGCCCGAAACCGCTTCTAAGCTTCCCTCACGATCCTCGAAGGATACCGTTGACTCGTGCACCTGGGCCTGGCCATTCTTCAGGATCTTGGACGCTTCTTCGAGCTTCATAACTGTTCAATACTAGTTTAACCGGAAATTGTATTGATGACGTGCTGTGAATGGGATAAAGGAATAGTTGGGGTATATTTCTCTTTTCAGTAGAGTATGAAGATTGATAATCTCGATTCTGGAAATATAATTATCTTCTATAATATATAGGTAAAATGGTGGAGAGATCTGAGCAAGGGAACTATGCCGTTTCCTGTCTTACCGTAACCAACAAGATTAGATATTTGATGTCACCAAGTGACGCGACTCATCGGAAAGTTTGCCAATTTGTAACCCGACAATTGTATAATGCAGGGTGGTAAAGATACATAAGTGTACATATCGTTGATCTACTATAGAAGTATTTCATACGATGATTCAAACGGTTAACCGCCGTAGACATGACCGACAAAGAGCCTGTGTATTCTGGCCCATCTATGCCGGTAAACGCTCTATCCTGTTGAGTAGGAGGCGGGGAATATTCACCTGGAGACATGGGAACCGTGAGCCTGGGTGACACACAAACAGAAAACAGAGCTAAACACATTTAGCTATTGTATCGAGTATTCACTATGCTGCATCGCACATTATATATTAAAATGAGGAAAATCATGAGATTTCAGTCGCATGTTTCAAGCTCATCTATTCGCTGAGAGATGATGGCGCGATGCATATTCGCGGCATCGACTGCCGTTGTGAACCCAACCAGTCTAATTTTTTATGCAAGAAAGCATGAACTTCAGCTAGACGGGGCAGCTGCATATTGCATTCTCCATTGAGCAATGAATAAACAGCTTTTAGTTGTACCTGTAGCTTGCCTGGGAATTCGGGAAAAGGGTGGCGATAGAAGAGAAGAACAGGAGACTGTGTAAGATACTCTCAAATGAGTACATGGGTGGAGCGAAACACTGTACATAATATATGTATGCCTTGTCATGCGGCCACTTCTGTGCTGCGACGGGTATTGGCATATTTTATATCCCAAGATAATACTCAGTCCCTCAAACACATTCAAGGTAGAAAGGGCCACAAGTAATCATGTACTACCTAGGCAAACGAGATGACCTAGAAGCCAAGAAATGGATGTTCCCTTCACGAGCATAGAAGTACAAAGGCGGCGGGAGTTTCATATATATCCCAAGTCTTATCGGGGTTACTCCAGGAAGCCGGCCCAGGGGTATGCG